TCACACTTAAATATAAATCAAGTATCTCCTCTGAAAATAACTCTGTGAGTCATGACTGTCTACAATGGTGTAACACCCGAGTCCCACTGTCTGTGATGTTTTCAGAGTTTTCAGAGTCCTATCTTCACTTTGTTTACATCGCCGGAACGGCCGGCTGACTCCTCCCCTCGTGTATAAAAGTTGTTTAATTGAGGGACTAGAGAAAAGAAGAATAACATACTGTACTCACTGCTTAACTGTGTTTCTAGATCACGCTCATTTCAGGTAAATTTACATGCAGTGTGAAGATACCAGCATAATAAAGATCACTAGCATTAGCATGCTAACACAACAATGCAGCGTGAGTTGTTTTGGTTTCATGCTGGAGCTCAAGGGCGACATCTGCTGGATCAAAAAAAACACATAGTAAGCCTTTAACGCTCCTCCTGCTCTCTGCCTGGACACACACCTCTCCTCAGATTTTACCCACAGGGAGAGAAATGTCTTGGATTTTTTCATGTGAGAAATACAACCTAGTAACACTTAATTCCTGTTTCATCTCTCTTTTATTAGTGAAGATCTATTTTTAGCTCGTCGACGTCTCGTCTTGTTGATGAAAACTTGACATATTGTTAGTAAACTAAATGAACACGATGATCTTGACAACAAGTAGCCTTAGTACAAAAACAACAGTCATGTTGGGTGTTTGTTCCCGGTGTGTTTGCCAAGCTGTCCTGTCAAATGTGTTTCAGACGGAGGTCAGTCAAAGTGTCGGGTTGAGAGGAACCAGGCTCTGGAGCAGGCCAGGAGACCTCAGGAGTCCATGTTCGTCCCAGAATGCAACGAGGACGGAACATTTGCCCAGGTCTGTCTCTAACCGTCTGCTCTCCTTCTCTTCACTCACTATCACAAAGTTTTTGTCATTTTTTGGTGTGATGTATATTTCTGCCTCTGCAGGTCCAGTGCCACACGCTGACAGGTTACTGCTGGTGTGTCACCGGTGACGGGAAGCCAGTGAGTGGCTCCTCTGTGCACAACAGGACCCCGGTGTGTTCAGGTACTGGCAGGAAAACAGCACGGCAACCTGTGCAGGGAATTTTAAGAGTCTGAGTTATTTAAGAAACCAAAGCTGCTCTACTTCAGACTCTTCTCTAATATATCAACCAAAATGTTCTTTAGGGTCGATGCTGGTATTAAATTTTGGTATCGGCCAATAAGATTACTCTCCAATAGCTGTGACATCCAAAAACCAGCTTATTTAAACAATAACAGCCTCCATCTGCTCAGGTTAGGAGGCTCAATGCTGCCATCAAAGGGATATTCTTGTATTTCTGGGTTCAAGTTTGCAAAATTGATGACATATTTAATTTAGCTGTTTTCCTGATTGATGGACAGACGGGAGAAAATGGGCCAGACTTCAGGTAACAACGTTAGGATCAAAGGTCACATATATAAAATCCACCATGTCAGTTTGTTCTTGAGATCTTGAGAAATGTACTTGTTACCACGGGAAAGCCAGCATCATAACAAAGTCGACGTATCAAGAAAACAACCATCAATTTATCATCACAGAAAGACAGATTAAAATACATTTCATGGATGTACGTCAACTGAGGGGATCTGTACCTAAAAAAGGCAACACAAGTCTTGGATGTAACTCAGAGAATCCTTGGGGTACCTGGATTAAAAAAGATTTTAAAAAACGTTCAGGATGTTCTGATGAAGGCTGGAGAGTGAAACCTCATCTCAGCTGCAGTATAATTACTTCTGTCTAGCCTCACTTTGAGCACATGTGTATTACACGTCATGTGACTCAGGGCAGGTGCAAGGTCAACGAGAAGGCTAATGGTCATACATCCAGGGGCCTCTCTCTCCCCCCCTCCCTCACCTCCCCCCGGTCTAACTGCTCACAGCAGGCCAGAGGAGAGAGAGAGAGAGAGAGAGAGAGAGAGAGAGCGGGCTCACTCGTCCTGGATGGGAACACTTTATGATAATCACCATCATTTTCCCTCCTGAGATAATACACAGGGCTCGCTGCCAGGTTTGGATTGCACAGCCGCTAAAGCATATGGTGCACATTTAGTGTGTAGAGTGGTGAAAGTGGTGGCATGCCCCCGTGGAGCTGCTTCAAAGACTGCCACAGGACTCTGCTCTCATTGGATCTCTCTCTCTCTCTCTCTCTCTCTGCCTTCATCTCTTTCTGCCATCTTTTCTCCGTTTCCCGCTCCTGCTACTAACCACCTGTACAGTTTCCCCTCGGCACCTGCTGTGTTCCAGGACCTGAGCCCAGCAAAGCTTATCAATGACGCACACTTGTGTATCCATTCCAACCAGAAAACCAACCGGCTTTCTTTTTCTGTTAACAAGTCGATCTAGAGGGTTCAAGTTCAGAATAAAGGCAGCGTTATTGTTTTAATTCTTCTCCAGATAAGAATGTTTTATTTTGAGTAAACAACCGACTGTGCAGCTGCAGGATCTATCCATCGTGACCACAGTCAGGTCAGGTGTTCAGGGAAACACA